TTAGCCATTTTCAACGCAGTCACCATAGGTATCCATCTGGTAGGTAAGCTTCTGATGATCTTTTTCACATGATCAGCAGTAGAGTATCCTTTATCCAGAACCTTTAGTCCAGCTGTAAGTATTTGAAATCTGGAGAACATAGCTTCAATAGATTCAGAGTCTTCCATCTTGAAGGCTTCATACTTCTGGATTAGAGCCAGAGCCTTTGTTTCCTTGACTTGAGAGTTTCCCTCATGAGTTATCTTTAAGGACTCAAACATGTCAAATGCAGTTTCTCTATTTGTGATCTTTTCATACTCAGTGTGAGATATTGCATTTAACAATATTGTTCTGGCCTTGTGGTGATTTCTAAATTCTTTCTTTTGAGCATCTGTCATAGATTTTCTGTCTACTTTCTTGCCATTCCCATCAGTGGGATGAACATATCCATCTATGACCAGATCCCGTAAATCAGCATCATATCCAAGGAAAAAACTTTCAATCCTGTCTTTCCAATAATCAAATTTCTCCCCATCAAACATAGGGGGTTTGGTGCTGATTCTTTCCCTCTCTTCATATTTGTTGTTAATGTTAGACATTGTATTATCAGCCATAGTAAGAACCAAATATATATCAAAGTTTTTCTCACTGGATCTTTACTGTCGCTGTGAAGTGGTAGCACACACAGAACCGGAGCTCTGATGCCAACTGAAGGTGAGAAAATACTTAGAAGGGGGGTTGAATAAGTATGAAGATAAAAACTTAGAAATAAAAACTCAAGTATTTTTATCCTGGTTCGTTGAACTCAACTACTCCAGTCCACCCTTCCTAGAGCGATTTGCCTTTCTCAAACAAGGACTTAATCCACTATTTAATCAACTGATTACAATAGTAAGCACTAAGAACAACTGTTCAAAGTCTTCCCAAGAACTACTGATCCTAACTGGATCTTCTTAAGGTTTTCTTACAATCAAATGTAATAACAAATACAAGTGTTTAAATTGCTTCTAAAAAAGCTTTATCACAACTGTGATTTTTCACTTAATATTAAGAACAAAGAAATTAATTCTAGAAAGAATGTGAATAGTATGAAAGCTTTGAATATTGATTTCTTTTCAGGTAAAACGTTAACTGAAGAAGATGGGTGAAGACTTGCTTTTATAGGCAGCTTGATCCAAGAGAACTTCACGTTGAGAAGAGTGTCCCAAAAGGTCTGAGCCTTTTTTGTCTTCACATCAAGTGACCTTTCCTAGAAGAAGAAAGCACAAAGAAATCCTTTTTGTCTGTGTTCTTGTGTCTAGCATAAATAAGGAAAGAGTCGTTTGGATTATTCCAACGGACATAATCTTTGAATTCTTCTTCATCAATTTTCAGCAAGAATCATCAGAGTCTAATTTGATCAGAGCCTTCTGATGTTGATCAGAATTTTGCTGAATCAGAGTCTTTGCAGCAGGTGTGCTTTTAGCGTGTATAAGTTCAGAGCATATTTGAGTCAGATCCTCAGTACTGGCAGCTTTAGTACTTTCAGAATCTTCTGTAGTAACAATGCTTTGAAAACTTTTCATACAGAATTCTTCTTTGGTTCAGATGCTTCTGACTTGCTTCAGATTCTTCTGGAGCTTCTGCTTCAGATCCTTCTGGAGCTTCTGCTTCAGATCCTTCTGGAGGCTACGCTCAGGATCTTCTGTTGGCAGCATTCAGAATCTTCTAATGGATGCATCTGGCGCTTCAGAGTCTAGCATATTTCTTATGTTCAGTTCCGATTTGCTTCTGGAGTGATAATTACTTTAATATCTGCAGCAAACATTCTCAAGCAAATTTTAGAGTATATAATTCTTAATTACAAAATTTCATAATAGTTATCATCAAAACATAGAGATATTATTAAGAACCAATCTGTGTTCTAACATAAATACATTTAATAGATTAATTATTTTATACAGTGAATTCATCACTATCATCTATTTATATTATTTTATAAATTGTTAAAATAAAAGTTAATTTTTTTCTATTATTTTACGTTTATAATTAACTCAGTGTGTAAAATTCATTTACACTATCAGTGTATTTCAATTAAATCATAATAGAAAATTACAATAATACTTTATTTTTTTTTATTATGGAAAATACATAATTCATTTTACTAAGTACATTTTGGTATATAAAATATTACAATCTTATTAGTTTTTCTCCTATCCTAATAACTTTACATGAGAGTTCCTAAAATAAAAATAAATAACTAACATTTATATTTGAAGGAGTGTTTGTTATAAAAAAAAAAGTATAATTAGAGACAATCCCTCCCTGTATCCCTGTATAGGGTTCATAGGGCTCACTCATATTTTAAAATTTAAATTGTGTTGAGAGCTTACCCGCTAAAGTCAAAGAATTATGGAGAAATCTTATTTACTTTTTAGAGTGAAATTTATGATTTATTTTCTCTTTTTATAAATGATGTGTGGGGTGTGTGTGTGACCATATTTGTATGTGTGTATCTTATGTGTTGGTCATAAGATTTTATAATCGCAGTCCAGAAAAGACAATAATCCATCAAATCATTCTCGGAGCATAAGTGTTATCATGAGTCTGAGTATAAGAGATTTGGATATAGGATTCATTCAACAGCTCCCCCGCATTCTACATCTGAAATTCAGTAGGTTGTTATAACTGCTCTACTATATAAAGAAGAAGCGCGTCTTTTTCAGGTGCAATTTAAAAATTCAAACTTCATTCACTCGTTTACTCTTATACTGACTTGGGCGTTGGTGATCTAACCTTGTAGGTGAGGCTCATTCTCATTGTACCGAAAGTTCAAGTCTATAGTTGCAATTCATAATCTTCGATCTTCAATCAATTTTGGTTCTTTAGCTGAATAGTGGTGTCTTCTATAGAAATCGACATTTGATTCCCGCAATTTTCCACCTTCAAATATTCATCTCTCGATTCATCGAACAAAAGCTTCTTCAACCTAGCGATTCAAATTCCCTAAAATTGAGCATCAGATCTCTATTCTCAAATAATGGTAGATTCTAAAGCCACTGCGTTGGGTGAGACTACCACAATTTCTCAAGCTGCAAGAAATCCATCGTCTCCTCCTTAAAACGGAGGCGATAAAGCTATCGCGAGCACTCTACAACATCACAATCACGTTCCACCTCCAACGGTTGTAGGTGCTGCTTCATGACTCCAACAAGGGGAACCGTCATTCAGGCTTCCAACACCGCTAATAGTACAAATACTAGGATCATGGCTTGGATTCCAGTTGTTGTAAGCCTACCTCGACATGTAAGGCAAAAACGAGCTATTAAACATCATGTATAACATGTTTTGACAACAAAATGTGCATGTGATGGAAGAGAGGTTATTTTGTCTTGAAGAAAACCTACATAACTTCAATCCAATAGGAAATACAGTACAGTAATTCGCATCCTAAAGGAGTCATATTATCATTCCTGAGTTGCCTGTGTCTCATTGAGTTGTAGGATCGAGATCTCCAAACCGCCTTAGAAGTCGGAGGCATCGGACTACTCTCCCGCAATCCTAAAGGAGGTCAATGTAGGTATGCTCCCCTAGAGGAGCAAGTGGATAAGCCTTTAGAAAAAACCAATAGAATAATCATTTTTCCGCCTGCATCTTTGACAGTCGGATATCAAAATCTTTAGAGAAACCTCTAAAGTTGCATGATTACGATGGAAAAGGAAATCCTTACGAACATGTGCAACACGTTGATTACCGCTTGAATTATTACCACACTGACGAGGCGACAAAGTGAAAACTCTTTGCACTCGTGCTGACCGAATCAACGAGGTTCAGGTTCACATCTCTGCCCGACTGGTGTGACGATTCATGGACAGACCTCTGTGAAAACTTTACTACCTATTTAATATTTCTACAAAGTTTATCAATTTCCATTTTGACCCTGTGACAATTATCTTCGTTCCACTTCATAATATTCTCTCCACTTTTTCCAAGCCTGACCATAATATTATCATTCTCGATTCAATAAAAAAAAACCGTTAAATTGCAGTTCAATTAGTCATGCATTTTAGAACTTAAATCTATTATGAGGTTTATGATGTTTCAAACTCACTTCACAACATATAAGAATATGATAGTGATCTGAAGTAGTCATTGCTAAACATTCCACCTTTGCTTTTAAGAACAAAAAATACGATCATTGTTAGACATTGCTCAATATAATACTTAAACAATTCTATATATTTTCAGACTCTCTAGAACCAAGTAAAAAGAATATCCTTTCATAGGCACATACCAAACTTGTATCTTGTAGTGTCTGTTTGAAACTATTTATTAATCAATTTGGTTGTTCACCTCTCCCTTTTTTTTTCTCTTTAAATGAAAGAATGTCATTAAAGTCTCTTAAAACACATCAAGGTAAATTCAAATTTTTTGAAAGATTTCAAAATACATCTAACAAAAATACAAAATTCTTCTACGAGTTTCTTCAAAAGTGACCGTAGAAGTCTTTAAGGATTCAATTTCTACCAATTTCTTAAAAAAAATGTATTTAAAAAACAAAATTGCATCTATTTGATTTGTCATTTTAATTAATGTTAAAAAATATGAGTAGTAAAACATGTCAACCCCACAAGACCCTTTTAACCTGTCATTTTTGAAACCTCTACCCTCCACTTCAATTATTTTGTCCCGTCATGTTTGTTGATGAACTTTGGGGGGATAACATGCCCCTAAGCATTCAATGCATTGTAGTGTGGTAAATAGGTTGAATCTCTATGTATAACCTTCATTTTTGGCCAAAAAAATAGATTAAAACAAATCTTTTGACACATGATGCAATTGATAAACCATGAATTTGTCAAAGTCATTAAATGATATGACAATATATAATTCAATAAGGGTATAAACTTCTTTTACATCGAGAGAGTGCAACAAAATGAATCTCTAAACAAAAATTTGATTTACACTAAACAAAGTACCCTGAACATTGAAATAACCCCAAAATATAAAACATCTTTAAAAAAAATACAAATCATGTTCTTTTAAACAAGAGAATCCTTGCTTAATTTCTTAGACTCAAGACCCTCCTTTTCCTGATTACCATTCAAAACTGGTGAAATATCTTTATCCTTAACCTGAAAACAATCACAGACAAAACAACAAAATCTTATGAGCATGTCTACAACAAGAAAAAATGAGAGAAAAACGGCGAAAAAATACCTGAGTTGACAGAGGTGGATCAACCAACAGTTTCTTTTTGCTCTCTTGAGTGCAGAAATAAGAGTACAATCCCATTCCAAAAACTGCTACTAGTATTCCAATAATGTTCCTCTCAGTGAAAGGGTCATGGAGCAATGTGTAACCAAATCCTAGGACAAGACAAGTTTTGAGGTGGCCCAAAACTTGATATGTTACCGGAGATGTTTTTCCTATTACTAGAAAAGTGCTGAAGTTCACAGAAACAGCTATCACACATGACATGATGATGAATGTCTGAAAAAAATAAAAGTAACACAATGAATTATATAATCATACTCTTTTTTTTTTGTCTGCGGGTTCGAAATTTGATGATTGCATCCAACCTAACAATATCGGGTTCTGCTAGTTGAGCTATGATTTACAGACTTGTATAATCATATTGTATACGGTAACGCAACCACATATACACATGATGAGGATTGATGATTTGAGAATTGATATTACTTACCAAGACTATAGGAGAATATTTGTAGGCAAAGACATTTTGCTTGGTTAGCATCTGATCCACAAAAGGGCCTGAAACAAAAAGAATTGCTGCTTGGAATGGAGCAGATTGGTAGAGAAGTTGTGTGGAAGTGACATTAAGTTTCTTCTGGATTGTGTTGGTAAGCTGAATTATTCAATAAGTTAAGAATCAACGACGGCAGATAAAATCAAATAAGTCAATCCAAACAGACGTTAATTCAGGCGAGTATATAAAGAGAGAATAGTAAAGGATACGATTTGGCCAACGCATGTTGTTATGATAGCTAGTAATGAAAGAATGGTTCCAACAAAATTGAGTTGAAGATCTGTGATTGAGGCAATGCCAACTCCGACAAGTAAGAAGAATAGAGAAAGTTTAATTTTCGGGCTGCACGTGGTTGCCAAATAATTCATAGTCAGTTTCGCAATTAAGCAAGACCATGATCATGTTTAATTTCAGTCTCTTCGTAAATTCGTTTACCTGAATTGTTTCTTTAAGAAAATAGTTTCTAGCATAACTGTGAACGGTATGATTGCGAGTTTCGTCATCTACAAAAGAAACATTAAAACCATTTCATCAAACGAGTAGTTCAAAAAGCATTACAAAAAACAGATTGAAGATTGAATCGGCGAGCAATTAAACCTGGTAGAATCCAATTGAATTGAAACCAAGACTCAAGTTGAGAAATCCAATGGAAACACCATTTAGAATACCAAAAAGCATGACTGTTTTCATGTCAACAGGTTTGGCCTCAAACAGGTTGAAGCGTTGAGCAACATGAAGGGTGCAAAAAGTAACCATCAAATGCCAACTTGTAAGTGTTGTAGCTGCTCCAAATTAATGAAAAAATAAAATGAGACATAAAACTCACACACACAATCCTGAGTACCAGAGTTCGAACTCAGATGATAATGTACAACTTAGCATTATCGGTTTTTGCCGGTTGAGTCAGGTTTGCGGACTATCATATTATAATATTTAAGAGGTGAGGAAAATGATAATTACCAAATGGAAATCCAAGATTGCTCATTAAGGCTTTGTTGCAAATGACAATTGAGACAGAAGAAGCCACAGAGAGAAATAGTGCACCAATAACTCCCAATTGAATCTTTGACATCTCTCCCATCTTTGCCACCAATATTTTTTTCAAGATTCTTCTATAGACATACATATATAATTAATCAGCACATAATGTATAGTTTGATCATAACATAACAATCAACAACAAGTACCTTAATTTCAAGAAATGAGAACCAAAACTCCAAAAGATCACAACTCAAGTTATGGAATAAAATCTTTGGTGTGGCCTTTTTATTTTTGATGTAGAACAAGTTCAATTCATAGAGTTTATGTTTGTTGGTTTGGTCAAGTTAACGGCCATTTGAAGCAAAAAAAACAAGACCATAAAATATTAACGTAACATAAGTCATGGTTATTTTTTAATGTCTAAAGTATAGAGCAAACAAAATAGATAGATGAGATGTTCAAATCATGAGTTTGGTTTGGTTTGGTCCAATTACATGCATCATACTCTACTAAAGATTTTCTCTACCAAACACTTTTTGTAACATGTAGCTTTCAAAAAAATTGAGTCTTGAAACACAAGTTTGGAAGGTGAGTGAAACTAACACTTATTTTTTTAAACAACTTCTCTCCCACTTCAAGCAAGACTTCTCAACCCAATTCAGCATAAACTTCAATCTCACTCCTAATTCATGAATGAGACTTTGATTTTAAAAATTAAAGCTAAAAACTTTTTGTTCAAGCTCCTATTTGTTTTTTGTTTATCTATGCTAAAGAGATATATACAATGATTTAGAAATCTATAAACTATGAATACTTAAACACATACCTCTGGATATTGGTAGCTCTCACCATGCCAAGCTTACAATGAGTTTTAAATCGTGTGAAGATTCTTTTATATTATTTATTCTAGGTATTATTTAAAGGAGTTAAAATTTGTTTATTTATTTATTTTTAAGATACTATACAAAGTATTATACTAAAAATATAAAAATATAAAAATATAATGCAAAATAATAATAGTTTTCTATATTTTGTAGTCCTTTCAGTCAAACGTTTTTTTATTCTTACTCCTATGCTTATTTTTTATAGTATTTGCAAAATAAAATGTTATTATTTATTTATCAACATAAAATTAATTTTTGTTTTGTTAATATTATCTTTAAGGGATAAATATGTTTATGTTCATCCTAAATATTTTAATTTTATTTTTAGTCTCTCAAAATATTTTTTTTTAAAAATGATCCTCTTAAAATTTTTCATCCATATTTTTTATCTTTAATATTAAAATTGTTGTTAATTCAGTCGTTAAATAATAAATTGTCACTAAATGGTAAAATTTGTTGTTAATTTGCAAGAGGGACTAAAAGTGGAAATAAAAAATTATAGGAAGATCATTCTTTAAAAAAATAATTTGAGGAACTAAAACCAAAAAATAAAATATTTAAAAAAATTACAAATATATTTAATCATATCTTTAATTATGCATTGTAGAAAAAATAGATGGTAAATATATTTTTTATACTTACTCCTATGCTTACATTTTACAGTATTTGAAAAAAAATGTTATTATTTACTTATATTTTTTTGAATTCAACATAAAATTAACTTTTGTTTTGTCAGTATTATTTTAAATATGTCTTCTAGAAAAAATAGATGATAAATATTTTTTATACTTACTCCTATGCTTATTTTTTTATAGTATTTGCAAAAAGAAATTATATTTACTTATCATTTTTTTAATTTAATGTAAAATTAATTTTTATTTTTTCAATATTAACTTTAATTATTTATTTTAGAAAAATAGATGATAAATATGATTGATATAGAAAACAATAAGTCTTGTTAAATCATCTCAAATGATAGTTATGTAGAAATAATATAAGGTTGTGGGTTTCAACCTGCGACATTTTATTTAATCACTTTTTTAAAAAAATCAGCTATTAAATTACTTGATAAATTCATCTTTAAATAAAATCATTAAATTATTTGAAGAAAAAAAATACATAAAGTACAATAATTATATAAAAAATAATAAAATTTATTGATTATTTTAACATGTGGAAAAAGAATAATTTACTACTTAGCAACTTTAGTGCAGGGTTGTTAAACCAAAATTTTGTATAGCTTACATTAGTAATAAAGAATTTGCATTATAGTAGAGCTGACACATCCAAGTGAACTAAAATTTAGTTCCCATTATCTATATAGTTAACGTTAACTATGTGAAATATATTATAATATTATTTATTTAATTAATAAAATATTCCAACAGCAATAAAATAATGACATGATATTTGAAAATAGTGGGGTCAAGTTTTGATTTCTTATAGACAACCATCATTAAAGTAAAAACTATTCAAATCAACTATAAATTTTTTAAATCCTACAAAATACTTTGGACCCACAAAAAATAACTTAGTTTATCCATTTAGTTTTAAAGATGAAGAAGAAAAAAGACTAGTTATACGTCTGTTACTACTTTTTCTTTTAAATATAAGATTCTCATTTTTTTCTTCCTTTTTATAAAACCTCTTTCAAACTATTAAGTGTATTAGTTACTTCTTTATGAACAGTATTTCTATTTATATTATATTTTTCTATAATTTATAAGAAATTTTGTATGAAAATATTAATTAATTATCTCTTTTAAAAAAAAATTTATAAAAAACCTTATTAACTTAAATATATTTAATATAATAGTTATTTTTGTACTCAAAGAAATTAGAGATTAGTTTATAAGTATTATTAGTGTAAAAAAAATTATACAATCGTTGCATCACATCCATTCATCGATGCTAGTAAAAATTTAATGATTTTAATTTATAAAAGTTAAATATTAGTAAAAATTTAATAATTAACTTTAACTCTTAGTGTAAAATATTTTTATATTGTCAGTGCATATCAATTAAAATCAAAAAATTATACCATCACATGTAGTGGTGTTTCAAATCAAACCGATCTAATAGAAAAATACAAATTAAACCAAACCAAATTGAAATCGCAAAAAATCGCATTTGATTCGGATGTGTTTGGGCCATTTTTTTTAACAAAACTGTGTGGTTTGATTTGGTTTGCAATTTGTGTTTTGCAAACTAAACAAAACAAAATCAAACCACATTAATTTACAACCCAAACTTCACTTATCCCATATCTAACCCAAAATCCAAACATATAATGCCTTAGCCTTACGATTAGGAACGATTTTCTCTTACTCATATTTAGGGTTTATCGCGCATTCTTCTCATCTTCTTTTTCATGTAAATCTCTCCTCTTATACTTTAATCTCTCTTCTCTTATGTTATTTCTTTTTCTTCTTCTCATTTTTATGCTATTGTTCTCTCTTCCAATTACACTTTTATCGCGCCTTTCTTCTCTAGTCTCGCATCTCTTCTGTTCTTTCTTTTTTGTCTTCTTCAATCTCTCATATTCTTTGTTTTTTCTATTTCATTATAATATTTTTGATATTGTTTTATACTAATATTTTATGTTTTTTATTCCACTTTTGTCTAACCTGGTTTTTGTATATTGAATGAGAAGTTGTTGTCCAAATATGATGAGTTTTGTTATTATTTGATAATGTATGAATGACTAATCATAAAGTTATGTTGTTCTCTATATATGTATGTATAGCTCAAAAAAAATCTTGCAAAAAACCGAACCAACCCAAACCGCATTGGTTTGACTTGGTTTGATTTTATTTATAAAAGACAACTGAATCAAACTGAACCACACACTTTTTCTCTTGCAGTTTGGATGACTTTTAGCGTCAAAACCGCACCACAAACACCCCTAATCATATGTATAATGATACTCTCTTCATAGTAGCTTTCTCCCCCATTTTAACTCCTAGCATCTTTACCCCATATGCGTTAATTAGGAATAGTTTTAGGTTCAGAGGTCCAAGTTTCTTCAAATTTTTTAATCATATTGTACAAATTTAAAGAGTTTAAGAGAGAGGAATCGAGACAGTTGTGTTATAACAATAGTGAGAGAGATAACCCTTCAGGGGTGTAGAAACAAAGAAGTTTTGAAAATGCATTAAAACATGAATGACGTGCCTTATTTCTTGGGCAGTAGTGATAACAAGAGAGAGACAATTTATTTTTTCACGCCTCTTTTTCTTTAATTTCTCATACATGCAAATGCCAAGAGGGCCCCTTAGCATTCCAAACTCAACTTTCTTTGCATACTTGCTTTGAGAAAAAAAACGTGTTGTCTTCTAATTTTTACTTGATTCTCAAGAATGTAGGTAAATTATCCACTTAGACTTATCTCAACTTCATACTAAATTAGTTGGACATAATGTTCAAACATGTTGTCTGACATTTTACCAAATCTGAGGTCATAATGAGTTTTCCTTTATCATTTTTCACCCTAGGCCTTTCACTTGTATGGGTTCCATGAGATTCATATGATGTAACTCTATAACTTTAGAGAAGGTAAGATGTTGGAGCTTCTTGAGGGACATCTTGGTCTACTTTCCTATTTGACACTCTCCATGGATTTTGCCTTCTTTAATCTTTAACTTTGACAATCCCCTGATAGTATCTTCAGAAAGGATCTTTTCATAATCTTGAGGTTGAGATGACCAAGTTTGTATGCCATAGCATGGTCTCATCTTTCTTGGATATCAAATAAGACAAGGGCTGAGAGACCCATATATAATAGTTGTTTTGGATCTTGAACCCTTCATTAACACTTGTTGATCTTTGCTAGAGACAATACATTTATGTTTGTTGAAGTTCACATTCAAATTTTAATCACATAGTTGACTGATATTGATCAAGTTAGCAGTTAAACCTTCTATCATAAAAAAATTATTTTATATATTTTGTAGTTCTTTGAATTAAATGTTTTTTATATTTACTCTTATGCTTATTTTTCTTATAGTATTTGCAAAATAAAATGTTATTATGTACTTATCATTTTTTGAATTCAACATAAAATTAACTTTTGTTTTGTCAGTATTATTTTTAATTATGTATTCTAGAAAAAGTAGATGATAAATATTTTTTTACACTTACTCACATGCTTATTTTTTATAGTATTTGCACAAAAAAAAATATTATTATCTACTTATTATTTTTTTGAATTCAATAT